ACAGGGACACGCCACTTCCTTTCTTTGAGAACCTTGGAGGTGAAGCTCTCCTTCTCACGTGAATCCTTCACATCTTACCCATATAATCGACATTCTTATTAAAGGGGTCCCTGTAGGCTTCTTGCCTAAACTTATCTCCCGAATAACCACTGAACCGCCCACCATTCTGGACCTTACATTTGCTCGTGTTTTGCCCCACAGACCGGAGATATTCCCGCAGAATTCCTACACCAACTGATAGAAGAAAGCATCCCATAGGTTACCTGTGCATAACTTGGGGTGTAAGCGCCGAGTCCTCAGGAGATTATAAAACGTCAGCATGACGGACAGATGGAAGGGCTAACTGTACATCCATGCTTAGTGCTGGCAAAAGCCAACACTGTGCTTTCCTACGGCAGATCAGTACCCTATCATATCATATATAAATATTACACTTTTTTTATATCTATTCACCCACTGATGAGCTTCTGGGGGACAGAACGTAGGTGCTGTGACAACAGCTGGCCACGCTGACTCTTGCTGTCTCACTGGCTACAGAATCAGCCTTTCTTACACGGTCAACCATCCCCGCTGCATATGTGGTTGTGGGGACTTAAAGCTTCCTCCTTTTATCATCTTATCTAAGTCTTTGTAAGATAAGTTGCCTGCACTAGAAGGATGCAGTATCTCAGTTACTCTTCCCTCATTGCTGGGACAAAATACCTGACACCCCAAATGAAGGAAGGAAAGGTTTTTTTAGCTCACAGTTTGAGGAGGTTTCGGTGCATACTCGGCTGGCTCCAAGGCAGCGCGGCACACGGCAGAGGGCAGCAGCTCATGGTAGCGGAAAACAGCAAAGAACACAGGGAGGGGCGGCAGCAGCAGAGGCAGAGGAAGCCTTGCTTTCTTCCAGGCTCTCTGCCCCAGGGTGGGTGAGGCACTCAGACCCATAATCCCAGCAGCACTCACACCCATAATCCCAGCAGCACTCACATCCATAATCCCAGCAGCACTCACATCCATAATCCCAGCCTTGGACTATGAATTAATCACAAACTCTAGAACCACACCCCAATCACTGCATGAGGTTTTGGGGTAACA